TACTACTACTACTACTACTACTACTACTACTACTACTACTACTACTACTACTCTCTACTACTACTCTCTACTCTCTCTCTCTCTACTCTCTCTCTCTCTCTCTCTCTCTCTCTCTCTCTCTCTCTCTCTCTCTCTCTCTCTCTCTCTCTCTCTCTCTCTCTCTCTCTCTCTCTCTCTCTCTCTCTGCATGTATGTGTATAGACAGAGTGATAAAGCGATAAACACGCATATAGATCCAGACCAATAGATAGATAGATAGAATAAATAAATTTATAGACAAAATCAATAGATGAATATGGACAAACAATGCATATACATAACCAAATACATATGCATGCATCCATTCATATGGCTTCTTTGTCACAACAGTCAATATATTATGGACAAGCGAACCAAATTCTGAGATCTTGGATGAAGTAGAAAGAAGTCAAGCTGCAATGCAAGGCATTTCACAGCATCTCACATTGATACATAGGCAAGCGACAATGAGCTACTTTTTGCTACTCGAAGATGTAAGCTATGGACCCAAGAGTACCCCATAAATGAAGGTATCATATCCATGGAAAGGATAACCAGCAACGTATGCATTCCTAAAGCATTCATAACTGCATTAAGGACACCTAAAACCTTATATATGGTAATGAGATGGAAGTGAATTACCTATTACAGTTAATAAATAACTGAACCCTCATAATTCAGATGTTGGCTTGGATTTCCCTCTCCCATAGAGCCCTCACCGTCAATCAAATCCAAAGTAGGGGCCTCGCCTTATCCAATAGGTGTGCTTTGTACACCATAGACGACGAAACTAATGACCATGTCTTCCTCCAATGTGACTTCGTTAGCACCCTTTGGAGTAAACTGTTGCACCTCTTCCATTGGACATGGGTCACCCCAAAGTCCATTCCCCATGTCTTTTGCACCTCACTTTCACCCCCATGGTCTAAATCCGGACTCCTTGGAGAGACTCTATTGCAGCGACAAATTGGACAATTTGGTTAAAGGGAAACAATAGAATTGTCGGAGGGCAAAGAAGCACGGCCCATCACTGCTTTGACGAGATCCTTGACCTCGTTACCTTTTGGGCCATAAGACTTTCAGGAACTTCTGTTACTCAGATTTCCTCCAGAATTGGCAGCCCAGCTGAATTTGCGACCCACCAGAAGCTCTCATGCCTCTTTGTGGAGACCTCCCGATAGGGGCACAATCAAACTTAACTTTGATGGTTGCTCTCTCGACAACTCGGGCCCCCTCGAATATTGACGGCATCTTTAGAACATATAATGGCAATAACCTCATCTCCTTCTCCATCCCCAGCGGCCACGTTGAATCCACCTTTCCTGAGGCCCTTGCTCTCCTTGTTGGTCTCAGAAAGTTCAATCCGACTTGAGGCAATGCTTTGATCATCAAAGGTGACTCTAAGAACACTATTTCCTAGGCCTCTGCCTCTTCCCCATGCCCATGGTGTTTGGTCCATCTCTTCGATGAAATTTTGCAACTTAGTACTCTCTTAGCATCTCATGGAGGCGTGTATGGAGGGAAGCCAATGCTGATGCCAATCTTCTCACTAGGGAGGGAGCTTTTAACAACTCTTCAGAGACGTCCTCCAACACCTTTTTGAGCTACTAAACAAAAAAATGTGCCTATTTTTTTGTTATGTCATTGTTACTTGTAACTATCCATAATTAATATAAAACAGTTAATAGATTTAAAAAAGAAAATTAACTGAACCCCTTTGGCCTTATACACAATGACTAGGCTGCCCTTACAACCACGTAATGACCAAGAAGTGCATATGTTACTCAAAATTGGAGGATGTCCAATCACAAAAGACAGATCTATCCTCTCCAATAGAAGAACAGTTACCATACAGCATAACTGACAGTTATTACTGTCCCACCTATTTCAAAGTTTAAACTTTCCTAAGAGGAAAGAACAATGGTACGCATCAAAAACTTAACCAGTTCTGTATAGAATCAAGAATCTTATCTCATACAGTTATATTAGGAATTTTTAATGGAAGACAACTATGACACAAGGATCCAAAAGTTCTGCAATTAAACAACTTCGCTAATTGTCAGCGAAATTTACTCTCAAAATCAGCTAAGGAATGGATCTAGAAATTAATAACAGGCTTGCCACTAACATATGAATTGTATTGTGTTGGAAAACATATATGTTTATGTGCAATACAATTACAATACTTGTTGAATATTAGTATCTTCTTAGAAGCAAAAAATAAACCAAAACCAAGAATTAGCCAATCAGAGATGAATTAATGGACAAGTGTCTATCTTAGCCAAGCATATTGACCAATTGGGGGATTCCTTATTAAAGGACATAAAATTTCACTGCATCCAAAGGGAACTGGTATACTTAAATGGGGCTCATTGGAGGATTACTTATTAAAGATAAAGAAAATTTTCACTGGGAGCTAATAGACTTAGAATATTTTTTTGTATTGTGCTTGGGCTCAAGTGAATAATGTGCGGTTGTGAACTTCTATTGTTATTCAGGTTTGGCCACTGTCCAAGTATCCACGATCAAACAAAGAGAAGAGTGTCGAAAAGTATATGTTCCTTATTGAGGAACTATAAAGAGAAACACAAAGGGTGTAACAGAACCATGTTAGGAAATGCAACCACAGACTACATAAAACTATTTTTCAGTTATATACGGTTTGTAATGAAATACAAAGATTTCATAGAAGTTTTTTATTCCTCTGTGGCATCCTATCGCTAGGACCTCAGAGCCATTGCAATTTCAATATTGATAAATATTAATTACATAATGCTGACATTGCTGTATCATGAGTACTTTGAAAAAAAAGAAAAAGAAAGAAAAAAACACTTAAGTCTTCAAACTGAAACCTTTACTTCTAACCCAAATTGAATGCCTGGTATGTGAGGAATACATGCACATTTTACATATCCTAGTGTCATATATCTCATGCAAGTTTGTTAGTGATATGAAATATTCTATCATATTTCCAAAGAACCACTACCACCCATCAACACCTAGTGACCTACGCAAAGAGTGTTGTTTAAAGAATGGGCAACATTTGCATTTGATGGCTAGCAATTGAAATCACATTTGGAAAGCAAGTCCATGCCAGCTAGTGGTGAAGAAAAAGGAGTTAGCCATGCTTTACGAATGGCAGAAGATTTAAACCAAAAAAGACACGGTAAAGGTAGCCCTCCTCTAGCAGCTTACTTGCAGGTGAAAGAGAAAAGAAAATGGTTTTCCACTTATAGTCGTTGCAAATGGTTTTCCACCATATGGCTGGTGGTTTTCCCCAATACTACAGTTTGAAATGGTATGATAGTCACTTGGGTATTAATGCTTCAAATACAATCCTTTGAAAATAGTGCTAACTAAGGCCACGTGTTATAAGAAGTACTTGTCACTAGTTAGATAAACATATAGATCAAAAGGTGATTGCAATTACACATTAACCGTTTCTAGACACAGCTCTAAGCATTATTGTCCCTCATGAACTTTGTAAGCCTGGATACTCTCTAAACAATGGTCCAAGTAGAAGACGTATTTTAAAATTTGAAATTAGATAAACCCAATTGTATCAATGCGTCTGAATTTGATTTAAAATCTTTAAATTTTTATCTTAGATTGCAAGCAAAACCTTTGTTCTCTTAAGATATTCATTGCACATCGCAAAGAATTCATAATTACAAACATAAATCACATCAGTCAGAAATACTGCAATTACACTTATATAAGAATATATTTTTATATAACTCAAGCCCAAAATTATCATTTCCAATGGTAAAACATACACAGAAAAGTAACAAATATATACTTCACACTAATGCATACACATTATTCAAAGGTCCAGAAAGAAAACCCAAAATAACATCCATTCTGATTTTGATACCTTCGCCCATCTGCAATTTTGGTTATGTAAACCTCTCTCACACAATTCCAAAAGGTATCAATGACCATTTGATCTTTGAATGACAAAAAAGTCAAAAACCAAGTAAATCCCTTATGAATACCAAATAAAAGCTTAGAAAATACGAAATGATAGGCTCATGAATTTACTCTCAGCTCCAAAGGTGTCTTTCTCTTCGTGGTGGATTCAAATTGGAGTTTGGAGGCACAATGTGCAATTGTTGATGAAGAGGAGAAATCATGGACAGCCACCTTCGCCATTCTAACCAAGATGCATAAAATCCGACAATTCCTGCATAAATTCCTCTCCCCTCTTAACTATCCCACCCCACCCTCCCCCAAAAAAAAAATAAATAAATAGCGAAAAATAAAATAAAATAAAACTTCTCTCTCTGCATAACAACAAAAGAACAGTAGTAAATTAACCAATATGATGCAAGCTACTCACTCATACATTACAAGTAAGAATAAGATCAGCCAATCTAAATCGATGGTAGAAAAATAACAAAAGAAGTGATTTTGATATCAATGGAAAAGAAAATTTAGATAAGAAGCGAAGATTAATTATAAAGAACGTTTGATTGACAAAGCGAATTAAAGGTGAGACGAGTAACAAAGTCATTGGCTTTTAAAAAATAATGAAAAAGAACAGAGGAAATGCAAGCATAGGAGAGTCGATTCATAAAACGACTATTATTGATCACCAAAAACTCAAAAAAAAAAAAAAAACAAAGGATCATTGGAGAAAAATGTGATAATTAATGTTCTATCCACAACAATATTCAGTTATAACATTTTCATCGATGTTAGAAAAGATGCACAAGAAAACACTAGATTTCCCAACTCTTAAAAACAAAGAGATATGAGAGGTTCCAGGAATTATCGAGAACATTAAGTAAATTTTTGTATTGTAAAATAGTGAGAATTCACCTTTAAAATGCATGAGTGGTCAATGGATCAAGTGCCTGGGTGTATCGAACCATTTCCATATCCAGAATGAATTTAGGGCAAGAAATGAATGGCTGAATGTGAGATGAGGATTTAGCAATGCCCCAGAGAGAGAGAGAGAGAGAGAGAGAGGGGCGAGGTTCTGAGTGGAGTCAGCGAGGGAAAGTATTGTTTGAAATTTTAGGGGAATTGTGAGTTGGGGACGCGTGTGTTCTAAAACACGCTTGGATGGATCCTCTTAGTCATGAAGCTGCAACATTATTTATGATGCTTTGGTATGCTTGTGCGGCTGCACAATTGCATGTCTTTGCTATTTAAGACTATTCACTTGATAAAGAGGTCACAATCATTATAGATAGTTAGATGTGAAATTTGATTGTTGGATATGATTTATCAACTGGGCACAAAAAATCTCGATGATGTGACTCGCTTCAATTTTTTATTTCACATTCAATGGTTAAAACTGATTGTGACCTCTTTATACTACGAGTAAATAGTCTCATTGTGGACAATATCTTCTCCAGTTGAGGTGGCCTGGTAATCTCTCTTGAACTTTCATGGACCCTTTGGGTAAGACCTCATGTCATTCTCATTCTTTCCCCATGTCCCATGGACAACATTAACCCCACATCATATCTTCTAACCCGTGAATCCATCTTCTTTGTTTGTTTCTTTTTAACATATACCATTTGATATTATTGATAAAACTACATGACGTGCATTAGAGAACTAAGACATCAAATAAAACAATTTTTATTCAGCAATACCACGCTTAGCTAACCCATCGGCCACCTTATTAACCTCCTTATAAATATGCGTAAAAGAAATCCACATCTCAATTGTAATATCCATGATTTACCTCCATAAAAATGATCTTAAAGTCCAACCAAGGTTCTTTAGATGCAAAATTGCACCAATTTATAACATTGAGATAATCGCCCTCTACTATATAATAGCCACCAACATGCCTCTCCTTCAATAATTTTAGTACTTGAAGAAAGATGTAGAATCTTGGCTTCATTTTCTGTCATGTCTCCGTAAGGCCCCCAATAATGAAAGACCACATATCTTTCAACATTCCTCACTAATCCACCAATCTCAACTAGTTTCGGATTGCCATTGAACTTTCATTAAATTTTAATTTCAGACATCCATCCATAGGTAGAATCCATCTTCCTTTAGATCTTCCTTCCACAAATTGCAAAGTAATAAGCTGAACCAAAGTTAGATCAATATGGGCTTTGGGAATTCTAATGCTGTAAGTTAGATCAACATGGGCTTTGCGAATTCTAATGCCGTCCTTGGTAGAAGCCATCTTGGTCTTCTTAAGATCCATAGTGAAACACCTCCCTTTACATGTCCTTTTATTTTGTTCTTACCAAATTTCCTACAGCAAAGAAGCTCTAAAAAATCCTCCAAATCATACTTCCAACATTTGGTAATCCATTTAATTCCACGTGCTCCAAAATATTAGAGTGTCTTATAGGAAGATTCAATATGAAGTCAATCTTTTGCAATGCCCACGTCCACAAATCATAAGCGAGAACAAGGCAAAAGCATATGATCACTAGTTTCTTCATCATTTTTACAAAATAAGCATTCATTCACCACAATCCTTCCCCTCTTTTTCAGATTATCAAAAGATTAAGTTTTACCCTAAAACAAAATCCAAAGAAAACCCTGAAACTTATGTGAACTTTCACACCTTCCAATAAGTCGGTTGCTCCCAAAGAAAGTCCCGAACCTTGTGCGAACTTCCACACCTTCCACAACGTCGGCTGCTTCCATCTCAACCTCTCATGATAGATAATCTAGTAAGCTGATTTAACAGAAAAACAACCACTCTTTGTAGCCTCCCAAATCCCTTCATCATCCGTATTTATGTGAAAGATATTGAGTTTCCAACTCTTTAATTAACGTTACAAATTACAGCAATATCCCATCAGACACTCTATTATACACACAACCTAATACCCCAAGGCAATCATTGACTACTCCAATTACATACTTTATTAATCGTCCTATTGGGTTTGTTACTTTATCAAATATCTCAAGGCAATAAAGTTTCAAAGCTCTATCTCTTAATCACTTATGGCGCCAAAAAAATATAATATCTCCCTTCCCCACCAGTTATCGAATTTGCAACACAAAATCTACGAGGCGTAATCCTGTTCCATAGATGAGACTGCCTTGCTCCATTTCATCCCCACCTATAAGCAACAAACAACTATTAAGGTCATATTTTGCTTTAAGCACCTGTCTCCACATAAAAGTATCTCCTTTTACCAATCTCCACCACCACTTCAGAATCAATGTTTTGGTCATAGCCTCTAATTTTCTAATGCCAAGACTCCCTTCTACTTTCGGCATACATACTCTAACCCAACATAATAAAAAAGAACTTTTTTCCATTATCATTGAATCCCTATAAAAATTCATCATGATCTTGTCAATTTATTTAACAGTCGAGCTCAACATATCTAGCATTGACACCTGATATATATGAAGATTTGACAAAGATGATTTTATCAAAGTAATCCCACCCCCAAATGAAAGATATTTTGTCTTCCACAAATCTAATTTTAAATGAATCCTTATTCTAATTGAGTCCTAAATTGCTCTAGGAAATCTTGAGTAAAAACCTGGCATTCCAAGGTATATGATAGGGAAAGGTTCAACCTGACAATGCAAAAGATAAGGCAAAGAATAAGACACCTCCTCATGTCATCCAACCCCTATCAAAACTATTATGTAAAATTAACTTTGAAGTCGACTGCCATTTCACAACATATCACAAATCTTCTTACATGTAGAATTTGATATATACTCGGATCACAAAAATGATTGAGTCATATGCATATTGTAGGTGGGAGATATATTGGCTATTTTCATAAATATTTAAGCCTTTTAACCGATCATTAGCCTCAACATTCTTTAGCATTAAGCTAAAAGCTTCAGCCACCAAAGTAAAAAAGAATGGTGAGAGATGATCACCTTGTCTAATCCCTTAGCTTTAAGTAACCTACAGACGGCCATTAATTAGCATTGAAAAGTAAACATTAGATAAGCATCCCCTGATCCACATCCTCCATTTTTGTTTTTTACCAAACCTCATTCCCTTCATTATCTTTAGCAAACATCACAAACAATCATATTATATACCTTCTCCATATCAAGCTTCAACATAATTTCAAGTTCACCACTCACATGTCTAGAGTGATCAAATTCGCAATTAGGGTGCTACCATGATCATCCTATTGTGATTATGTAATTGAGGTAATAATTGAGTCTCTTAACAAGGATCTTAGAAATGATTTTGTAGATACTAGTAATAAGACTTGTAGGCCTATTGTCATCAATACCCGAGATAGGAGAACTCTTTGGAATTAATGCTATAAGTGTAGAGTTAATTATGTAATTGAGGTAATAAACAACAACACCGACTTGAGTCTCTTAACAAGGATCTTAGAAATGATTTTGTAGATACTAGTAATAAGACTTGTAGGCCTATTGTCATCAATACCCAAGATAGGAGAACTCTTTGGAATTAATGCTATAAGTGTAGAGTTAATATTCCTATTCGCAATTCCCCTTTCCATAAAATCCTTCCCCATATTTAATAATTCACCATTACCTGAACTTTTGAAAAAACAGCAATAGGAAACCATTTGGGCCAGGGGCTTTGTCTCGTAGCAAAAAGAAAACTACCTCCCTTAGCTCCTTTTCAGAAGACCTCTATCTCTAAATCAAATATGATTTGTTCAGGTAATTTCTTAAAAATAATTCCTTCCAAATTCACATTGAAATCAAACTCTCAAGAAAAAAGCTTATCAAAGTGATTAATAATTTATGTCTCTTACCCCTCTTGGTCTCCCTCTACCCCTTCCATTACAATTCCATAGATGTCATTATGCTGTCTTCTAGAACTTGCATCGAGTGGAAAAACTTTGTATTCAACTCCCCTTTTTTCAACCACTTTGACCTGAGAACTTTGCTACTAATATATCTCCTTTAATCACATTAAGTCATGTCAAAGATGTCCTATGTTGTTCCTTCTCAATTTGTACCTCTGTTATCAAAATTTCTCCTTGTTTTCAAAATTCTAAAATGTTTGATAAAACGAAGGAGTTCGACATGCCATACATGATGTAATTGTTGATAAAACGAAGGAGTTCGACATGCCATACATGATGTAATTACGTTGTCGTCTTCTCTAACTTCTTAAAGAGTAAAAACCCGAAAATTTTAAGAAAAATCTTCCTAGTAGAAAGCCTTCCTAATAGTAAGACATTCCAAGTCATAACTCGAACCGAGAAAGGCACAGCTCTAGGAAACCAAAAGAGGAAAAGGGAACTATAGAGATTTTCATGTGTTTATAAATGTGCTAGATTTGAGCCGCTTTTGGAGTTCAAAATCATAATTAGAGATGAAAATAGACTCTTGAGCCATCTTAAGAATTTCAACACCAAAATTGCAGCTTATGATAGAGTTTGGCGGTGTGACGTTGTTTGTTTAAGGTTACAACCTTATGCAAAGCTCACTTTTTATAATGACATCTACAAGATTACTAATTTTTTGGTGCAAATAAGTCACCATTATTTTTAGCCATTCGATATGAAATCCAGCAGAAAATATTACATCACAACATTTACAAAATTTTATTTTGGACATTGTGCCCAAACAATAACTCATGCTCAACCACCCGATTTCAAATTAAAGGGACCTCCTTGTATCTAAATTAAGCCGTCTTCTTGTATGCATCTCCGCGTTCTACACTTTTCCAACATAAATCCGTTTCTTATTGGATTCGTACGCCTGCGTACACCTCCGCTCTCTCTCAATCAGTTGTATTTTCACATCATCCTTTATACTTGGAAAGCATGCAAATGAAACCTCAAGTGAGATAGGGTCATGTGGCACCATGTATTCCTCTTCCACAGTCGCTCCCCATATCCAATCCCGGCCTCCATTCCAATTTCTCTCAAAAAACTCACCTCCACTCTGCCATAACTCCAAAACCCCACTTCAAATTGTCTATCTATCCAAGAACACATCTCAATATCCCCGCTCTAACCTTCATTTCTCTGCAACCCCACCTCAAATCCTCCATGTCTCAACATCCCAATCTTTCTCTGTAACAATCCTAAAATTTCAAAAAAAAAAAAAAAAGATAGAAAATATGCTTTTAAATAGGTGATGTTCTGTTTGAATATGATGGTCCTTGAGGACCATCACTATTTTCAAAAGATTTGCCTTTGCCTTTACTTTTTTTTTCTTTTGCCTGCTCTTGCCTCCTGCTGCTTGCCTCCTGCTGCTTGCAGCTGGCAACGTCCTTTAGCGGACGTGATTTTCGTATGATAAAAGTCTGCTTTTAACGCGACACCTCAGGTATGAGGTAGAGCGTAATAAAACAATATAATAATACGTTATAAGAATTTAAATAGGGGATGTGAGCACTCCCACCCTAAAACAAAATTTTGAGATCTCTCTCTCTGGTCGAAACACAGTGAACTTCTCTCTTGAACCGAATTTTTTTATCGGAAGCTCCCTCTCAAATAATTGTGGGTAAGTGACATCGTCTTTCTGAAAAATAGTCTATTTTTAATAAATAATGATATTTCCGTCCAAGATCTTTATTTTATAAGTTTTATGTGTAAGTGACCCCATTGTCTCGAAAAATAATCCATTCTTTTTAAAAATGAAATGAAATAATTATTTCTGCTTATTAGCATGAATTTTAGGCGCGATAAATTTTATGCGCACGTGACCTCATTATCTTGAAAAATAATCTTTTTAATAAAAATTGTGATATTTTATCTATGTTAGAAATTTTGAATGCTGTAAATTAGAAAAATAAATTTATTTATTTTTCTTATCTATTGTTAGAAATAAATGTGATATTTCTGCTTTTAGTAAAATTGTAATAATTCTTTCTACTGTTTTGAATATTTAGACATTGTAAAATTCATGTGCAAATGACTGTCTTATTATTTAAAAATTGACATTTTTGCAATTGATTATAGTATTGTTGTGAAACGTTTATTTGTGAATTGATATTTCATAAATTGTGATAATTTCGTATTCTTGAATTTTTATAAGAGTTTTTCTATACATATTAAATTGACAATTATGCTAGAATGCCTTTACAAACTGCTACCTTTCTAAATTTGAGCCCAAAATATTTGATTGGTTATTTTTGAAATATTATAGAGAGTGACTGTTATTAATGGTTTAAGTGAAATTCATATTAATGGTTTCAGTGATATGTTGAGTACATGATATTGCTGTATTCGAATGTTTAAAGAGATTTAAAAATAA